TCCCGGGCCCGGCACGGTGGCCCCGGCGGCCCCGGTGCCGTTAGGCCCGTCGCCTAGCAGGGTTGGCGCGGGCCGGGCTCCAAACAGCAAACGCTGCTGCTCTAGGTCCGCACTCTGCATGTTTTAGAAACCAAGCAGCAAGTTTGCACAAACCTGTAAGCATCTAATAAGCATGAGAGACAAAAAAAAAAGATGTCTTGCTTTACTTAATAGCTGGGTGTGATGGGTCTTTGAAATATGATGATTCTCAGTTCTCTTTGCTTTAACCAGAATTCTATATGCCCTTTTGCTGAGTTCCCTTTTGTTCAGTTGTGTTTTGTTTTGTTTTGTTTTTTAAATTTTAACTTTGGTTTAAAAAAAATCCTCTAGGGGTCAGGAGAAGGTAGAATTCCACTCCCCAGACCCAGGGGGCTCTTCCCCGTTCTGTTCTCCTTGCTCTCCAAGCACCTTCTGCAGGAGCTGGACTGGCAGGTTTTGTTCCACGGAAGATTCTCTGTCTGCTCGTGCCTCTCCGAGTCAGGGAGAGGCTCTGAATGTGTGTGTGTCGCCAGAATGGGAGGGTCTCTTAAATACAGGAGAGATGTGGTTTCAGAGCAGCACGAGGCATCTTGTAAGACAGCAGATGTTAACGTGCTCTGTTGGTGTAGCTGCTACTTACAGGATGGATGAATATCCTGCAGACTTGGCAGGAGGCCACATCGCTAGCAATAGGAAGACCCAGATGCTGTCTTGTGTCCAGTGTGAGCTAAATGAACAATGTGCCGGGGATCACAGCACACCTCCTGAGAAGGCCCCCTCCTCCCCCGAACACAGTGGGGTCCTCCCTGGGGCATTTATGTGTGCTCTATGGTTTGTCTCTACAAGGCAGAACGGTTCCGCAGTCAGGGGAGACTTACAAAGAGAAGGAAGAGCAACACCTCAAACATGGTGAGATGTGGGAGCTTATGGTAAAAAGAGGAATCATGATAGAAGTGATTTAATAGATGCAGAGGTGGGTTTAGGATGTAAAACGGAAGGCCTGACTGGCTTGGCCCACCTGGGAGTTTGGAATTACAAAATAAACGTGCTGAAATGCAGCACGTGCTAAAATCCAGAATACAGATCAGGGAGTTTGCATCCAGAGCAAAACGAAACAGTCAGTGATGAGGAGGCCTGGAGACCCAGCGCAGCTGATGGGTGAATGTAGGGGGGCTTCTGAGCCAGTCATGGTGAGGTGGACACCCATTTAGAAAGTGTAGGGTCCTGGGGCCTTGGGAAGCCTACATGGCGGGGACAGCATGGAGGTTTTTGTAGTGCTGTCATTACGAATGTAGATTTGTAGTGATCTTTTAGACCTAAATTCTAGGGACATTCAAGAGTTTTCCAGCTTTTACAGTGACAGAGCTAAGAATTCAGATGTTAGGAAATCTGTGCATCTTGATGGATTTTCTAAGAAACCCGAATTGATAGCAGATACATCAGGGAAGGAAGGCTTTAAAAAGAAAAATAGGCTTTATTATGTGTCTATTTTATGCATTTATTTCTGATCAGGTTGGGTGGTTGGCTCAGAACTGTTGCATGTCCTTCCATGATATCCTTGGCACAGGTGGTGAGGCCTTGCTCCCCAGTCAGGATCCACACGTGTAGTCTGTCCATCGTTGCCAGTTGCTGAGGGAGGAGGCGTTATCCTTTGGAGACACTGATACTGATCTTGACTCTGTCATTGGCTGCACAGCATCAGAGGAGCCCATGAACCTCTCTGTGCCTTAGTTTCTTATCTCATGGACGAGCTCGTTGCCTGACCCAGGGACTACCTCATGGGAATTTAGTGAGGACACATGAGATTAGGAAGACTGGAGAACCTCTAGTACCAAGGTTCTCCACGCTGACCATATGCTGGAATCACTTTGGAAGATTTTTTTTAAATGTCTATGTCCACACCTCCTCACTCCCGACCAATTAAGTCAGAACCTCAGGCATCAGTATGCCCTGAGATGTCTTGAAGCACTGCTTGAGAAGGAAGGCCAGACACATTATTGCCTTGGAAGAATCAGATAAGGTTTAGAGCTTTTTAAAAACTTCCATTCAGAAGGGCAGGCATTTCATTGAGAACGGCCGGATGCTGACCTACATGATCGTGATACAGCGATGCTGTCCCAGCAGGTTCGCTTTGCTCCTTGTCACAGCCTTTGGAGACTCAGACATGCTTTCATCTACTTAAACAGTTTGTGAAGCCTTGTCAACCAGTGTAAACAGATATGGATTTATAAGTCTGCTAAATACATGTGAAGGTTATTAATTAATTATTGAGAGGAAAGCCCCTTCTCTCCCACTGCACTCCCGTGAGAATGATAAACTCCACTTCCCCAGGACGTGGGTGTGCCTCGGGGTCTGTGTGATGGGGTGGAGCGGGTGCTGGCAGACCTGCCAGCTGATGCGCCATTTCCCTAGCGCCTCAGGATGATTGTCCCAGACTTGGAACATCTGGTTGTGCTGCAAAAGGATGGGGTCCACAGCCCCCCGCAAGCAGCAGGGATGCTGCAGAGGGTGCTGTCACTAAGAGCTGAGGTTGTGCAGGGTTGCGTCCACAGGGGCCCTGCTGTGGGCGGTGGGGACTCTGCTAGAAAAGATGAGGTGCCAGAGTGGGTCCCCCTGGCACGTGGGTGCCATAGAGAAAACTGTCTCTGATCCTGAACACAGAATCTGTATCTAAGAGGAAATGACTTCTGAAATAAGGCAGTTTTATGAATGTTTAAAATGCCTGGAGCATTAAAGGAATCATATTTCAAGTGTTTTTGTCCCCTTTGATTCTTTCATCTTATTGTGAGTGTTCACTGTTCTAGGATATCACTGGTTATTTGAATCCATGCTTCTACCCCATTGTACTATTAAAATTTTCCAATTTTCAACACAAATTATAGGACATGCAAAGAAAGAGAGTATAGCCCAAAGAGGGAACAGACAGTCAATAGAAACCATCCCTAAAGAAGCCTGGGCATTGCACGTGTGACAGAAAGACCTTAATTTCAGCTATTTAAATGTATATTTAAAGGAGTAAAAGAGGATGAGAATTATGTGTCACCGGAGAGACAGTATCATTAAAGAAATAGAAATTGTTTTTTAAATAGAACAAAGTAGAAATTTTGGCATTGAAAAGTATGATAATGCAAATGAAAAATTTAGTAGAAGTGTTCAAACAGGTCTGAGCTGACAGAAGACAGAATCAGTGAATCTGAAGTCAGTTGACATCATCTAGTCTGAGGAGGACAAAGAAAAAAGAAAGAAGAAAAAATGAACAGAGCTCTAGAAACATATATATAATATATATATATATATATAATATATATATATATATAATATATATATATATATATACACACACACACCAATATATGTAACAGGAATCCTAGAAGAAAGGTGAGAGGTTGGGGAAGAAAACACAGGAAAAAGTAGTGGTCCACAACTTTCCCATTTGGTGATAACCATTAAAGTGCATCCAAGAGGTTCAATGAACTCTTAAGTAAGATAGACTCAGCGAGATCCACACCAAGATACATTAGCCACTAAGAAAATAACTAACTATATAGTTTAAAAAACCCTGAAATGTTACACTAGAAAACACCTATTTAATAAAAGAAAAGGCAGTAATGAAGGAATGGAGGGGGTGGTGTAAGACACATAGAAAGCAAATAGCGATATACAGACATAAATCCTGCCTTATCAGTAATTTCATTAAATGTAAATGGGTTAAGCTCTCCAGTCAAAAGGCAGGATTGGCAAAATGGATAAAGAAACCAAAACAGCTATGATCCAATTCTATGCTATCTACAAGAGACCCACTTTAGATTCAAAGACACAAGTAAAAGTGAAAGAAGGATGGGGAAACTCAGAACTCAAGAGAGAAATAGACAATTCATGAATAATAATTGGAGCTTTCAATCTCCCATTTTCAAGAATGGATAGAACAACTAGTCAAAAGATCAACAAGGAAGCAGAAACCACTATAAACCAACCAGGTCTAACAAATATTAATAGAACACTCAACCCAGCAGTAGCAAAATATACATTTTTCTCAAGTGCATATGACACATTGTTGGGAATAAACTAAATGCTAGACCATAAAGCCTCAGTGAATTGAAAAAACATTCAAAAGCCTGGGAATAAAATGGGAACTTCCTTGACTGGATAAAAGGTATCTTTGGAAAAACCCACAGCTTACATCATATGTCATGAAGAAGAACAAAGCTTTCTCCCTAAAATCAAGCACAAAACAAAGATGTCTATTGGTGCCACTTCTATTCAACATTGTGTTAAGGGTTCAAAAGGAAGGAAGAAAAGAAGACAGGGAGAGAGGAAGGAAAAAAGGAAGGACATCTAGATTGGAAAGGAAGAAATATAACTCCCTTTTTTTGCATTTAACAAGAACTTACATATAGGAAATCTTAAGAAATCCACAATACCTATTAGATCTAATAAATGAGTTCACACAAAAGTGCCAGAAATAAGATCAATATATAAAATACAGTTGTATTTATATACACTATAAATGAGCAATTTGAAAATTAAGAAAACAATTCCTATGTCAACATCAAAAAGGATTACATACTTAGGAATAAATTCAACAAAAGAAGTTCGTTTGCACACGATAAACTAAAACATATTTGAAAGAAATTAAAGAACAGCCAAATAAATGGGAAGGCATCCCATGGTCATGGGTTGGAAGACTATTATTGTTAAGATGAAAATAGACCAGATTGATCTACAGATTGAACATAATCCCTATCAAATAGCTCAGCCACCTTTTTGTGCAGAAATTGACAAGCCAATCCTAAAATTCAAATGGAAAAACAAATAACCAGGAATAGCCAAAGCAACCTAGAAAAAAAAGAACAAAGTTGGAGGACTTAACACTTTCTGATCTCAAAATTTATTACAAAGCCATACTAAGCAAGACTGTGGTTTGGCATAAGGGTAGACATATAGATTAAGGCAACAGAATTGAGAGTCCAGAAATAAACCCTCGTATTTATGATCAATTGATTTTTGACAATGTGTTAAGACAATTCAGTAGTCTTTTTAACAAAAGCTAGAACTGAATCCCCACATGCAAACGATGAAGTTAGTGCCTTTCTCGTACCATATACAAAAATTAACTCAAAATTGGGGTTGGTAGGAGGTTATAGCTCAAGTGGTAGAGCTCATGCTTAGCACACACGAAGTCCTGGGTTCAATCCCCAGTACCTCCTCAAAAAATAAATAAGTAGACCTAATTACCCCCCCCGGCAAAAATGAGTCAAGAGCCTAAATGTAAGAGCTGAAACAAAAACAAAAAACTTAGAAGAAAACATAGGTGTAAACCTTCACGATCTTGGATTAGGCAACAATTTCTTAAATATGCTATCAAACAGCATAAGCAACAAAAGAAAAAGGATAAACTAGACTTCATCAATGTTAACAACTTCTGTATTTCAAAGGACACAACCAAGGAAGTAAAAGATAACCCACAAAATGGGAGAAAATATTTGCAAACCATGTATCTGATAAGGTCTAGGATAGAATATATAAAGAACTATGAAGACTCAGCAATAAAAGGACAACCCAATTTTAAAGCGAACCAAGAGTCTAAACAGACATTTCTCCAATGGAAATATGCTCAGTGTCACTGGTCATTAGGGAAATGCAAAAAGTCACAATTAGATACTACTTTCCATGTACCAGGGTGGATGTAATTTAAAAAAAACAACAGAGAATAACATACTAGTGAGGACATAGAGAAATTGGAATCCTCATATATTGCTAATGGGAATGTAAAATTGTACAGCTGCTTTTGGAAAAACTTGGCAGTCCCTCAAAAAGTGAAGCATAGAGTTACCATACGATCCAGAAATTCCATTCCTAACTGTAATACCTAAGAGAATTGAAAACATACGTCCGTACAAAAACTTGCGCATGGCTATTTCTAGCAGCATTACTCGTAATAGCCAAAAGTGGAAACAACCCGAATATCCGTCAAATGGTGAATAAATAAACAAAATGTGTATCCATGCAATGGATGGATTCCTATTAAGCCGTGAAAGGAATGAAGTACATGCTGAAGCACGGATGAACCTTGAAAGCAGTGGAGAGATAATAAGGACGCTCAACCCTTTTAAGACGTAAAAGAAGAGAGAATTCGTGTGGCAGCTGAAGAGATCAGTGATTTGTTTTTGTTTGCTTCGTTTGAACAGCTTTTCCAGCAAGTTTGTATGCTGATGGAAATGACAGCTCCTGCAACGATCCTCTCATTCTCTGCCTTCCAGGAGTCCCTGACCAAGGGAAAGGGAATGAAGAAAGAGTTCTCCTTAAAAGCAGCAGACATTGTAAAGGGAGAGAAGGAGGAATTTAGATCACGGCTGCACACATCTTGGGAGATTTGGTTATGTCAATATAAGACAGAAACTGAAGATAACTTTTTAAAAGAGATACAGGAATGGAAATTACCTGCTGACTTGGTAAAGGTGAAATTGGGGCAGGAGGACACTTTTGGGAGTGGTGAATTAATTCATTGTCTTAATTGTGGTGATGGCTTCATGTTTGTATACATAGGTCAAGACTTATCAATGTGCACACTTCAAATGCTTGCAACTTATATCAATCATACGGCAATACAGAATACAGCTGTTAAACACATACAGATACACAAAAGATGATGTTGATAGACAGCTGCAGGCATTCCCTCATGAAATCCGTATCTAGGGAGATAAGTGCTTCATAAGAACTCACAGAGACTTAAAGGATCTTAAGGCTAGAATGCACCTGGGACGCCCGCCTTTCCCCCCTCCCCAACCCCCGACCCGTTCAAGACTCTCAAGGTCTAGAAGATGCGGGGAGTGGGTAGTGACCACTCCTTGACTGTCCTAGTGACGAGCCTTTGCGACTGAAGAGTTGGGTGGAAAGAGCAGGCAGTTTGGTGCCCAACATCGGCTTTTTCCCTGAAGCCTGGACTCCAGCTGGGTGTCACCTGAGGGTCTGCATCAGCACTGATCGCAAAGCGGTCAAGGGGAATAGAGGGAAATCTCTGATGACCGCTCTCCGCCGGTCCTAACAGCGTGAATAAGAGCGGAAGAGGTCACACGCCGAACTGGGTGTGGAGCGGCTTTCCACCTTCCGAGTCTCGCCCAGGGGGCATTTGGGGCGGGCAGACCACTCTCTGATTCTGTACTGTTTTAATCCGGCCCGTTCGCTCCACGGCATTGGTTTCAAGTCGACCCTGTAAAGGCGGAGGGCCCAGGACCGCCGGAACAGGAGGAACTACATTTCCCAGCAGGCTGTGGGCGCCCGGCCTCGGCCATTCTTTCCGGCGCGTGCAGAACTGTCCTGGTTCCCGGTGTGGAGGCGGACGCATGGATCCCGGCAGCCGGTGGCGGAACCTGCCCAGTGGGCCCAGCCTAAAGCACTTGACCGACCCCTCTTACGGGATCCCGCGGGAACAGCAAAAGCCAGCGTTGCAGGACCTAACGCGGGCGCACGTCGAGTCCTTCAACTACGCTGTGCGCGAGGGGCTGAGCCACGCGGTGCAGGTGAGCGCGGCGTCCTCCCGGGCTCCCCTCTGCTCAGCGTTCGCCGGCGCCGCTACCCCCTGCCCGAGGAGGGCGGAGGAGAGGGGCCTGGCGGAGCTGGAGGGGGGAGACTGGGGGTCGGGGGTGGTGGCGTGTGAGGACCTGGAGGAGGAAACCCGTGGGAGGGGGTGAGGCTCGGGGCCTAGGATGAGGAGGAGATCCAGGAGGCGGGGGGAGTGGGCCTGGGCCGAGGTTGCGGGGAGGAGCAGCACAGGCCGCGGGCAGGGGTCCCACAGAGGTGGCTAGGGGGAGGGTGTCACAATATAATCCCAAATAATTGTACTTCTTGACTATGCTAGGCTCAGCGCCGGGCTGTGTTGAGGGAGAGCGATATCATTGAGGCATAAAAGTGAAATTCAGTAAGAAACGTTTAATCCACAGTGATTGGTAACATTACTCGGTACCGTTTGCTCCACGTGAAAGTGATTGGCCTGGAGGGTGATGGTAGCAGAGCTCGAGTGAAGATGGTGCGGGAGGGTCTCATTTAGTAAGCATCCCAGTGTTCCAGGCCCTGGGCGCTGAGGATAAGAGACAGTTCTTACTTTTGAGTGCTCGGGATTGTGTTTTGGGTGGAGGTGATGGAGCCGTGAAGGCAGCCGATGCCAGTCCTTGAGAACCGGTGTGTAGAGTACTTCGGGAGGGTAGCTAACCCAGGTGTTTGAGAAAGGGCAGGATGACATGTATTGAAAAAGACAGTGCATTCGCTCCAGGGGATTCTACCCTGAGCTTTTGCTGGGTAGGACTTGTGTTATGAGAGGGATGGGAATAATGTGGAGAGCTGTGCCACTCCCTGATGTCTGAACTCTGTTCTGCAAATAATACGGGAGACGTTGAGGCTTCTATGAAGATTAATATTCCTTCACCTTTTTGCAAAAGACAAAACTTTTTGCTTGGTGGGAAATAATTTCTATTATGCCTGGACTCTTATTGTGTCATGTCTATGAGAAAAATTATACATCTATTTAACAGTTAATTGGCCCTGGGTTTTATTAAAACGGTGAAAAAGAGCCCAGGATTGAGATGATCAAGGAAGGCTTGGTCTAAAATAATGAACCCCCCACATAAGAGATTTTATAGATAAAACGTGGACCAGCAATTCTCAAACTTTTTGTTCCCTGGACCCCTTTCCACTCTTAAAATTTTTGAGGGATTCCGAAAGAGCTTTTGTTTACTCTGTTAGAAGCTGAAATTGAGAAATTTTAAAGCTACTAATTCATTGAAAAATAAACCAATTCTATATTAACCTTTTTTTATTAAAAATATTTTTTCTTAAAAAAATTTTTTGTATATCTTTTCAATGTTTGGCTTACTAGAAGACAGCTGACTCCTTATACTGCTTCTATATTCAATCTCTTATAAAATGTTTTGGTTGAAGTAGGTGAAGAAAATCTGGCTCAGATAATGATGCTGCAGTTTAGCTGGTACCATGATACTTTCTGAAAATGTTGTTCCATAAAACACAGGTAAATGTCTAATATTTATAAAGCCCAGGGGAAAATAGCCTTCGTCATATACTGTTTGCCTGGTTTCTTTGGAGTAAATTCCTCCATTCTGTTGGCATGTCTGTCACTGTCATCTTTTCAGGATGCAGTAGATTCTCATTATTTGGGAATTCCATATTCGCGAGTTGCCTGCTCACTAAAGTTTATTTGTAACCCCCAGATTAGTACTCACCAACATGCACAGAGAGAAAAAAAAATTTGAGTTGCCTGGTGTGCAGCCATCTCAGCTGAGGTCCAATAAGGTGCCACTCTTGCTTCTTGTTTCAAGTTCTTACACTACAAATAATGATGTAGTAGGAGAGAGATGCTCACTTTTTAAAGCAAGTTCAAAATGTCCTTTTCAAAGTTTGCTCGGTTTTTCCCATCCTTATGCTTTTTGTTGGTGACTTTGCTGTTTAAAATGGCCCTCAAGCAGAGCGCCAAAGTGCTTTCTAATGTTCCTCAGTGCAGAAAGGCTGTGATGTGCCCTGCAGAGAAAGTGTGTGTTGGATGGGGTTTGGTCAGTCATGAGTTAGTGCTGTTGGCTGTGAATTCAGTGTTAATGAACCATGACATGTATTAAATAGGATGTCCTTAAGCAGAAACACACATAAAACAAGGTTATGGATTGATCAGTTGATGAAATGTCATGTCCGAGACTTGCAGGAACCTAAGTTTGTACTTCCCCTAAGAACAGTTCAGAATTTATTATGTTGAACAAGGAGAATCGATTGTGTTAAGATACAGATAGTGCAGCTGTGTTTGAGAAAGTGAATCTTCTCATCGCCCTTTAAAATTTTATTTTTTTATTTTTGATGGGGGGTTTACTTATTTATGCTTCAGAGGAGGTACTGAGGATTGAACCCAGGACCTTATGAATGCTAAGCATGCGCTCTGCCGCTGAGCTATACCCTCCCCCCCAATCTCCCTTTTTTAAACAAATGCTCTAGAAAAAGAATATGAAAAGGAATATATGTACGTATATGTAAGATTGAAACATTACACTGTACCCCAGGCATTGGCACAACATTGTAAACTGACTTTACTTCAGTTAAAGCAAAAAGTACTACATTAAACTAATGCTCTAACCTGGTAATACCCTGTAATGAAGAAGAATAGGAAAAGGAATATATATATACACATATAACTGAATCATTGTGCTGCACATCAGAAACTAACACAGCATTGTAAATCCACTATACCTCAATTGAAATAAAATAATAAAATAAAATAATGCTCTGTTCTGAAATCAGAAATATATGTTACAATTTTCTTTTAGAGTAGGGTGTTAAATTCTAAAGTACCAGTGTTAGATAAAATTTAAAAATTGAGGAAAAAGTCAGCTGAACTCACGTGAAGGTGGAGAACCCCCCTTATAGTCTTAGCTCGTTTTTGGCATTCTTGTTATTCTAGCACTAAGGCTAGGAGGTAGTTAATAAGGAGGAGAGCTCACTGATACCCCTTGCTCAGAACAGCAAAGCTTCCCGCAGGAAGTGGTGCAGAGAAGCAACTGCTGTGGAAGGGGAGGAACCACCGTGGCCATCACCTTCCCGCTGGCAGGGCTCTGGCTTCAGTATGAGGCCACGTGGAATGAAATGTACCCATATCTGCCTAAAGAATGGCATTGGGAGGGAATGTATAGCTCAGTGGTAGAGCACGTGCTTAGCATGCACGAGGTCCTGGGTTCAATCCCCAGTGCCTCCTCTAAAAATATATAACCTAGTTACCTCCTCCCACCAGGATAAAAAATAAATAATACAATAATAAATAAATAAAATATATTTAAAAAAAGAATGGTATTAGAGTGTCAGGGCCTAAATCAGGAGGATGTGTCCATCTCCTTGCCCTGTTAGCAGGAGTCCCATTTTCTTGCCATACACGCAGAGGGTAGAGGGTAAGAACAGAGAAGGCAGGCGCTCGGTTCAGAGGACAGCTTTGTTCTGTGCACCATGGCATACCTGGAGCCTGCTACAGAGTCTGGCACGTAGTAGACTCTCAAAAACGTCTTGAGTTAAGGCATTGTAGTTTTAGGTACTTAGCGAGAGTATGAGTAGACGGGTTGTAGCTTTGGCTGTCTTTTTAGATGCATCTGTCATATTGGCATTTCAGCCCTCAATGCTTGTAAAACACATGGGATTTGAAGGAGTCGTAGAGAAAAAGTGCTTAGGTGATGCAAGCAGTTAATAGTGTGAATTGTATTTCAGGCGATACCTCCCTTTGAATTTGCTTTCAAAGATGAGCGTATCTCTCTTACGATTGTGGATGCTGTCATCAGTCCACCCACAGTTCCGAAGGGGAGCATCTGCAAAGAGCTCAACGTTTATCCAGCAGAATGCCGGGGCCGGAGGAGCACCTACCGGGGAAAGCTGACCGTGAGTACAACTCACCCGTTGTACATTTTTGACAATAAACCTGGTGCCTAATAAAGTTTATACCAGAATTCTGCTTTGTTAGTGCCGCCATCCAGGAGATCCCATCTCTTCAATCTAAAGCACAAAATCACTTAATTTATGGTCTTCTGCCTTAATCTTATAAAACAGTCATTTGTTCTTGTAGATCCAGATATTTCCTCTTTTATTAAGTAATTTTTTTCTCTCTTATTTTCATTTAGGCCGACATCAGCTGGGCAGTGAATGGAATCTCAAAAGGAACCATTAAACAGTTCCTTGGCCATGTTCCCATCATGGTGAAATCCAGGCTTTGCAACTTATACAGCCTTCCTCCAAAAGCCCTCATTGAGCACCACGAGGAAGCAGAGGTACCTGCCGGGGCCTGGGCACAGAAAGGCCAGGTGACAATAGAAGGCGCCTGAGTTGGGAGTGAAAAGACAGGAAGCTTGTCGGGGGTGGGGGGGATGTCTGGTTTTCTTTCTCTGCATCAGTCTCCAGATAGGGAAAATGCAGCACTGACGTCCTGTCGTGGAGACTTGATTAGATCTGCACTTTCCAGGGGATCCGCCCTCCCTCTTGCCTGAGTGCACCTCTTCTGCTAGGAATGAGGGTCATGTTTGCAGTTGGGCAGATTAATATTTATAGTTAGTTATTTATCTTTGTTTAACAAATTATAATTCATCTCTTTGGCAGGAAATGGGAGGCTATTTTATAATCAATGGCATTGAAAAAGTCATCCGAATGTTAATTATGCCTCGCCGAAATTTCCCCATTGCAATGGTCAGACCGAAATGGAAAACCAGAGGACCTGGCTATACTCAGTATGGTAAGTCGTAGTGATTTTTGTAATGTTCTTTTAGAAAAGTTTAAGCTGTCTTATTAAAAAGTAAATGCAGCCAAAGAGAATCTTTGATATTTTTCTCCCGTAAACATAAATTGTTTGCTTTTCTATTAAGCATTTCTGTATTATAATTTCCTAGTGGGAAACCTGCCTTCTACTGTGTTCACTTTTTTTGAAACTGGACACATGTACTTATGTTACTGCTTTTGAAGCTGAAGGCTGGCTGACTTGGCTGGAGGTGCGTATGGGTCTCAGAAGTCGTCTGGTTCGGGGTCTGTGGCACTCCCCTTGGGGTCCCTGGCTGACGGCCACCTGGCCTCTGTTTGATCGCACTCTCCGACAGTGCCTGGCTTCATAGGATAGTATTTTGCATTCTTGAGCCCTACAGGTAAACAATTTATTCTTATAATTGAGCTAAAAAATCAGTGTCTAATGGTAGCCCGTACACACTAAGGGTAATGGCGTCTTGACGAGTCTGTGTCTTGTCATTCATCCTTTTGTACCACACAGTGCACTCTGTCTTAGCAGTCTTCGTCTGAAGCTGAATTACCTTAAAATCTAAAATTCTGCTTTTCTCCATTCGAGCTCTTGGATCAAGCCACTGTCTTGACCAGACTCCACAGGGTGGTAGAGATATAAAGCATATGTGACCAAACTGTGCAGGGCTGTGGGCATATAAAGTGCTGTAAGACAAGGACACTTAAACAGCAGGGACCTACGATACAGCACAGGGAGCTATATTCAATACCTTATAATAACCTATAATGGAAAAGAACCTAAAAAAGAATATACATATGTGTGTGTATATATGATGTATAACTGAGTCACTCTGCTGTATACCTGAAACTAACACAACATTGTAAATCAACTATACTACAATTTGACAAAAAAAAAAGATAGACCCTGCTCTGGGAGGAAACTGAAGTTTCATTAAATTCATAGCTTCAGTTACTTTGAGTGGTTTTCAGCCCACAGAGATTTTGCACCCTGGGGGACATTTGGCAAAGTCTGGGTACATTTTAGTTACTGGTCTTGTCCTAACTTAGTGGTTTGGCTCTAATTATTTCTAAGAGACTTAAAATAATTCAGAAAAAAAAAATGTTTGAAGCCGGCATAGCAGTGCTGAGTGTCTGATGTTTGGCTCTGTTGGTTTCAATAGGAGTTTCAGTGCACTGTGTGAGGGAAGAGCATTCCGCCGTCAACATGAACCTTCACTACTTGGAAAACGGCACAGTTATGTTGAACTTTATTTACCGGAAAGAGCTGTTCTTCCTTCCTCTGGGATTTGCGCTTAAGGTGTGACTTACTGAACTTCTTTCTTTTGTCGGGAAGCGGGTCGTTGGAAGTGGGACCCTGTGCAGAATGGAAAGGCCGCCCTCGTCAGAGTTCATGCGCTGTGCTGGCTGTGTGCTGCTCCAGGGCAGAGTAGATCAGAATTCAGTGGCTGAAACATCACTACACATTTCTCTCACAGTTTCTGCGGCCAGGAGTTTGGAAGTGGCTCAGAATTGGGGCAGTTCTGGCCGGGGTCTCAGGAGGCTGCCCTGTGAGATGTCAGCAGTGGCTGTTGTCATTTAGAAGGCTTGACCGGGGCCGGAGGATCCCCTCCCGAGTTGGTTCACTCATGGCTGCAAGTCAGCTCGGGCTGTTGGCAGGAGGTCTCAGCTCCTCTCCACGTGGGCCTTCCCACGGGCTGCTAGAGGTGGCTGTGTTTCCCAGAGAGCTGGCCAAGACAGGAGAACGAGGCGGGAGCTGCAGTGCCCTTTATGACCCAGTCTTGAGAGTCACACCACATTCCCTTGGTCACAGCAGCCAGCCCTGATTCAGTGCGGAGGAGCCCAAGGTTGTGGATGCCAGGAGGGCGAGGCTCATTGGGACCATCTTGGTGTGTATCATACAAGCATTGCTGTCGTCTTGAAAAACTTACTTAGATTCAGCAATAGAGGAGTGCTGATTTTTTTTTTTAGAATTGTTACTAAATGATTAAGATGGTTTAGTCATTATTAGTGATTAAAAAAAGAACCTTCTTTTCTGTTTTCTAGGCACTTGTCAACTTTTCCGATTATCAGATTTTTCAGGAGCTTATCAAAGGAAAGGAGGATGACTCTTTCTTTAGGAACTCAGTATCCCAGATGTTAAGGATTGTAATGGAAGAGGGATGCTGCACACAAAAACAGGTCCTTAACTACCTGGGTGAACGCTTCAGAGTGAAGCTCAGTGTTCCTGACTGGTACCCAAATGAACAAGCTGCCGAGTTTCTGTTTGAGTATGTGTGCTTTTGCCTGAACTGTTTCTTGGGGGCAGAGGGTGTGCACGGGTCCCTGTATTGATTGGCTGGTGCATCACCTGGGAGTCAGAATGGCCCAGGGGGTTGGATTCTGGCTTAGCAAAGTAGGGGCTCGCTTTGTTTCTGCAGCCATCCTCACCTTTCTTTTTTTGGTGGTTTCATTTGATTTTATTGTCCTCTTCAAATTTCTTCTTGAAGTAACTTCAAACTTGCAGAATTGCTGCAAACGTAGTACATTGGATAGTCACGTTCACTAGTTGTTGACGTTTTTGCTACTTTCCTTTATTAATTTCCTTGCATATATGTCGTTTTCCTTTCTGCATCATCTGAAAATTGCAGGCTTCACATCCCTTTATTTCCCCCAGGCTAGGACTTTGTCTTCTGTAACCGCTGTGTAATTATTACAGGAGCCCTGCTCTGGACCAGCACCCTCAGATCTGTAGCCACGAGCCACATGCTGAGCACTTGAATGGCCAGTGCAACTGAGAAACTGAATTCTTAATTCATTTAATTTTAATCAATTTAAATTTAAACAGCCACACGTGGCCCAGCCCTACCACGTTGGCCTCCACAGCTCTATTCTGTTCTTTTGGTAATGCTGTCAGTAAAGGTGAAAAGCAATTTTTCGAAAATGTGTAAGGACTCTTAGGTAAACAGGGACTGGGGACCTTGGTTAGTGGGACATCACGCAGTGTTAGCAACTGAATTGTTTTTAAGCTTTTTCTTTCTGTTTTGGCAGCCAGTGCATCTGTATCCACTTGAAATCCAACACTGAAAAGTTCTACATGCTTTGTCTCATGACCCGGAAGCTCTTTGCTTTAGCCAAAGGGGAGTGCGTGGAGGAGAATCCGGACAGCTTAGTGAATCAAGAAGTCCTGACACCCGGTCAGCTCTTCCTCATGTTTCTGAAGGTACGTGCAGGCTGCTGTCACCTCCCGTGGGACGGCGTGGCTGGATTCGGCAGTATTGTTTTCTGCATGTTTATAATTTCTAGTTTGGGCATTTTATGTAAGTTTTTTTTTTCTGTTTTTGTTTGTTTAGCTTTAAGGGACTTAAGCAATTAAGGTAGCTTGTACCAGGTTCAGAAATTTCTTTTAATGTTTTTATAAAAGCTAAGTAAAGGCAATATCAAATCTTGGTCATAACATTAATTAATGATAAAGTGTAAACGGCCTATTTCCATGCATACAGTCAGTCCCCATTATTCACAGAGTCTGTATTTGTGAATTCACCTGCTTGCTACAGTTTATTTGTAACCCCAACGATACCAGTACTTGCAGCGCCCTCATGGTCACTTGCAGACGTACACAGAGAGCAGTAAAAAATTGTTGGGGCCTCCTGATGTGCATGGTCCCAGCTGAGGTCTTAATGGGGTGATGCTCTGCCTTCTTGGCCCTTACGCTATAAACAAGGGACTCCCAAGTGCCATGCTTTCACATTTTTGTGCTTTTTGTTGGGGTGATTCTGCTGTTGAAGATGGTCCCCAAGCTCAGTGCTGAAGTACTGTCTAGCGTTCCTGAGCACAAGAAGGCTGCTGCGTGCTGTATGGAGAAAACACTTGTATTTAACAAGCTTTGTTCAGGCATTAGTTATGGTGGTGTTGGCTGTGAGTTCAGCGATAAGAAATCAACAATGTAAACTAAGCTGTCACTCAACAAACACGTGTAAACCATGGTTAGGTGTTGATCAGCTGATGAAAATGTTGATGATCAGAGACTCCCTGAAACCTAGCCCTGCATCTCCCCCAGGGAGCCGTGGTCTGTCCTCGTCGGTGGGGCATGCAGGGACGTCGTAGGGCGTGATTACTGTAAACAATGAGGACTCCATGTGTCTGTGTGTGTCTAGGGGGACAGTGCTGGCATGACACCAAAGTCATTTTACAAGAAAGATGATCTGGGGTGGCATTTTATATTTTGAATATTACCCCTTAAAAGATTTAATCTAAGAGATAACATAATAATGACAGGGAAGATGGAGAGGACTGAAGTAAAAATTGCCAAATTCCTTATCTAGTCAGAGGTCCTGTAATGTACGGCTTCCTGTGGAAAAGTCTGTCGTGAAGCTTAAATAAATATTCAGGTGCCAGCTCATAGTTCATGCCCAGTAAATGCTAGTTAACCACAGGGAGGCAGTAGGCAGCCCCACGATAGGGGAGAGGAAGTTTAGCTCGTCCTTTCCTCTTCTCTGTCTCTTTTGTTTTCTCTTTCTTTTCCGCTGTTTCAAGTTTTATAAGATAAGAAAGTGTCCGTCTTTCCTACTGGCTTGCCAGCTGTCCTGTATGCTGTGTGTCGTCTGGGGACTTCGAGCTCCTCTCAGTGTTTTTGTTCTTGAGACGACAGGCTGCTGCTTTGGCTCAAGGTTTGGTTGTTGCTGCCTGTTTCTGGGATTGAAGTTGCTCTGATCTCTTAATAAGAGCGTTTGAATTAAAAACTTTTTTTTTAAGGTCTAAGCAAGCCAGCTTTGACTTTTTTTCCATTAGTGTGGATCATCTGAATGAGGAGTGATTTTACTCCACCCCAAGGGATCTTTGATGATGTCTAGAGACATTTTTGGTTGTCACAGCCTGAGGGTGCTACTGGCACCCAGTAGATGAGGGCCAGGGAGGCTGTGAAACATCCCACAGAGCACGGAACAGCCCCCCACCACAAAGAACCATCCAACCCCGGGGCCACCGTTCGAGGCTGAGACACCCTGAGCTACAGACGTTTGTATGTTCTGTCTTTAAGAAATGCCTGACCTAGAATAGCACACTGAAGAGCTGTTTTTCAGGTTATAATTTAGATGTTTTCCATGTCAAATGTGTGAATTAGTGAGCCTTTGTTAAGGAAGTGTAGATTATATAAAAGTAAATATGAAACTTGTAATTAAAACACCTAAAAATTTAATTTTTTTTTCTTATTTCAGGAAAAATTGGAAGCTTGGTTAGTATCTGTTAAAACAGCCATAGATAAGAAGTCTCAGAAGACCAATGTGTCCTTGAACACGGAAAATCTCATGAAGATTTTTACTATGGGAACAGACCTTACAAAACCATTTGAATATCTTCTTGCTACTGGGAATCTGCGTTCTAAAACGGGTACAATTAAATGGATAAGCTTTATTCAGTCATGATTTTCAAATGATTTGATTACTGTAGATTTTATATATTGTTGAAAGAGGTTCTTTTGGAAAGTAAACTTCTCTGTCTGATGAAAGACAGGCTTCAGGTTGTAGATTTTGACTGGCGAACACTGGGCTGAAGGGGTGCGGACAAGCTGTCTGTCTAGCCTGAATCTAATTTTAATAATCAAATGCATTTCCTGTGCTTCCTTCTAGAAAACTGAAGACAGGTTAGCTATCTGAAGAAAGGTTAACTAGATGGGTGGCTAACCCTGGAGGCATCCCTCCCTAAACCAGTTGCATCAGAATGACTGGAAAACCTTAAAAAGTGATTATTAAGGGCCCAGAATTCTGCCTTTTTTTTTTTTTAAACAGATGCTGCTGGTACAGGTTCTTGAAGGGCTAACAAGTATTGTGTGTCGTCCAGCCCTCTTGGACGAATCCCATTTAATTACTGGCTATTGTATTACTCCGTTCATGTTTTCCCACAGAGGAGGTACAGTGGAGGAGATAAGGAACCAGTCGAGCTGCTGCAGTTTTTGAAATCTAGGGGTTTTTACTACTTTTGTAGACTCTTCCGCTCAACAGAGCTGAGTAAACTTCGTGATAACTCACTCTGTGATGTCTAGTGTGGAGATTTTATCATCTTAGCAGAACTTAAAATACAAACAGGCTTTTTTTCTTTTTCTTTTAAGTTGAGTCCATTTTCAGTGACTTTTGTTTTTTTAAGGTCTTGGCTTCCTGCAAGATTCTGGACTTTGCGTTGTGGCCGACAAGCTGAACTTCATACGCTATCTCTCCCACTTCCGCTGCGTGCACAGAGGGGCTGATTTTGCCAAGATGAGGACCACCACAGTCCGCAGGCTGCTGCCCGAGTCCTGGGGTTTCCTTTGCCCCGTGCACACCCCCGACGGGGAGCCCTGTGGTCTGATGAACCACCTGAGCGCCACGTGTGAGGTCGTCACTCAGTTTGCGTACACAGCGTCTGTTCCGGCCCTGCTCTGCAGCCTGGGTGGGTGGCTAAACGCTCTTGTTTGGTTGGGTGGGTGTTAACAGGTACAAAGCTATCAATTTAGGCTTTTGGCGAGGCTGAACAGCGAATTCCTGCAAGATTGATGGATGAAACACGATAGATAACCTGCGACACTTTGTAAAATACTTGCTGTCTCCGAAGGCATTTGTGGCTCATGGAAGTGTGTTCTTTACCTAATTAGAGGTGATTCTTGGTGTTTGCGGTACTTCTGTTCTCTGAAGTCACCCCCGACACAGAATTAGCAGACACTGAGCCATTCACTGCTCCTGGGGAAACAAAGGTTAGGTTCCTGCAAGCCTCATCACAACACTTTTCATCAGCTGATTGATACATAGCTTTGTTTTATGCGTGTTTCTGTTTAAAGACACCTTATTTAATATATATTGTTGATTCATTAGCATTGAGTTCTCAGCCAACAGGGCTATAACTATAAGCTTATCTAACATGCAGTTTTTCTGTAAGGCTCAGCACAGCCTTGTGCTTAGAAACCCGCACTGTAGCCCTATGCTTGAAGGCCGTTTTACACAGCAAAGTCCCCAACAGAACGCGCAAAGATGCAAAAAATATGGCACTGCCCAGAGTGCGGAAAGCACGCTTGTCTACAGTGCGAGCTGAAGCAAGCAGGCAGAGCGTCACCTTGTTTGACCTCAGCTGGGAACACGTGTGTCAAGTGACTCAAAATTTTCACTGAATCTCCTCAAGTGATCAAAAAAGTGCCACTAATATTGATACTGGGGTTACAAATAAATTTTAGCAAGTAGACAAATTTGCGTTGTGTGAATCATAAGGATGAAATGTAATTTTAGATTTTGCGGGGAAAGTTAGTATGTTTACATGGCTCAGAAATCAAAATGTCAAAGGCGCACAGGGCAAAGCCTCCCTTACACCCCCGTCCCCCTGCTGCTCTCCCCACAGGCAGTTAGACACACTAGATTGCGGTGGCGGGGAGGGGGTGTCCTTCCTGAAATGATTTAGAAATTTACTCAAGCAATACAAAACACTCCGGTGTAGAGAAAGGATGGCCAGCAATCTAAAATGATGGAGCAGCCATCGAACCCACCTGCTGGGAAGTTTAAATGTTGGGAAAAGCATCCGACGTGTTCACCCTGTCTGTTCACCTCCCCAGGGGTCACTCCAGTTGACGGAGCGCCACATCGACCATACAGCGAGTGCTACCCTGTGCTGCTGGACGGGGTCATGGTTGGCTGGGTGGACAAGGAGCTGGCTCCTGGCATCGCCGATTCTCTCCGACATTTTAAGGTATCTTGAGTCTCTGAGTTGTTCTGTCCCTTGATCTTAGGTTTTCAGGCCTTTTCTGGTTGTTGAGGTAGCCCCAGGTTATTCTAGAATGGGCAAGGGCTCTGGAGGTCAGAAGCTGATTGCAGAAGCGCCTGTACGTTCTCTCTGGTGGCAGCGTCTAGCTTTGTGCTGATCTCATCAGTTGGGGTCAGTGACAGGTACTTGACCTGTATGCATTTTTTTGTGTGTGTGTGGTTTCACTGAGACCCTTGTCTACTAATCTATCAGTATTTTTAACTTGTTTTTCTTCATAGATACTAGTGACTTACAGGGGACCTTGAAGTATGGACTTTATATTTCAAGTAATATTGAAGATACAAGTCATAACCTGTTGCCTTCTGGATCTTGAAATACACTTGTAAAGTTATTATTGTTTGAATAACGAATCTATAGAATTTCCTCCTAATACGAGTCTTTGTTGCTTAGATAATGGCCTGTAGAAGAATTGTTTTGGCTGTAGGATGAACTTGTGGTTTACACTCTGTCCTGTTGTGTTTAGTTTAGTTGGTTTTTTTGCTCGTTTTCAGTTGTTTACTTTTGATACAATTTTACACTTAAAGAATGTTCCAGCAGTACAAAGAGCTCCCCTGGCCCCATCACCCAGATCCCCCAGTTGTTATCAGCCCCACCTACTTAATCATTTGTGTGCTATTTATAAATACTATGTACATTTTTCTTCTGAACTATTTGAGAGCAGTGCACACTCATGTCCCCTTTTCCATAGATTTCAGTGTATATTTCCAAGAGCAAGGATTTTCTTTTTATTAACCCCAGTATATTTACCAAATCAGGGACGGTCAGGTTGGTGGAATCCACAGCCCATATTCGGGTTATACCAGTTGTCTGAGTAATGTCTTTTATAGCTGTTTTTCTCCTCCTGGCCTGTGACCCTGTCCAGAATCACATGTTTCATAGCGTTGTCATGTTTTTTCAGTCTCCTTCAATCCAGAACAGTTCCTCAGCCCTCAGTTTCTTGACGCCATTTTTAAGAGTGCAGGCCGGCCGTGTGGACGGTCTCTTGGTGAATGTAGCTTCCTGTGGTGAGACTCGGGATGTCATTTCAGGAAGCACTTGATGTCGGCTGGTCTCATGACTGGTGACATGAACCTGAATCACTTTAAGACTCTGTCCTTTAGATTAGTCCACTGTACTGTTACTGATTTTCTCTGTAATAAGTAATTTGTGGAGAGAGATTTGGAAGCTCTGTGAAAGCCCTTTTCCTCATCAGATTTTCTCCCGCAAGTTGGATTCTTTGCAGAGAATTATTCTTCCACTGATGATTCTTTGCTGAGTTAATTATTACCGTGATGGTGGCCACATGGTTTTTCCTAGCTCCATTTGTTCTGTTTATTAGTTGCTATTATGTAAGGTGGAGCTTTCCTCTCTCCGTTTATTTGTTTCTTTATTTGCATCAGCCTGGGTTTATAGATGCTTGCTTTATTTTGTGAATATTCTGTTACTTTCGTTTGTTTTGGTGCTCAAATTATATCGGATTTGGCCAGTGGGAACCACTCTGGACTGGTCCCTGGGTTTTATAAATGTATAGAACAAAAGTTACCATTTTAACAATTTTTAAGTGTGCAGTTCAGTGACATGTATGTAAGTACATTTGTATTGTTGTGCAGCCATCACCATCATCCATCTTCTGAACTTTTTCATCCTCCCAAATGGAAACTCTGTACCCATTCAGCAATGACCCTCAATTCCCCCTTTCCCCATGAATTTGATTTTGCTAAGTACCTCATGTAAGTGGTACATAAGAAGTCATGTAATACTTGTCCCTTTGTGTCTGGCTTATTTCACTCAGCATAATGTTTTCAGAGTTCCTCTGTGTTCTAACATGTATCAGAACTTCCTTCTTTTTTATGGCTGAATAATATTCCTGTTTGTGTGTGGGTGTATACCAGTTCTTTTGGATATATATACCTAGAAGCAGAATTGCTGAATCCTATAGTGAATCTATGTTTAATTTTTTGGCATCTTTGGAGAAAAAATTGTGAGATTTTCTTCCCTTAGACATATTGAGTGTATTATATTAATCCATTCCCTAATAATGATCATTCTCTAATACTAATGGTGAATAGTGAGTCTTAAATTCCTGGAATAAATCTCACTTGGTCATTATTTTAATGTTTAAATACTAATAATTTCTTAAAGGTTAATGTTCTAAGATTTTTAAAAAATCAGCATTCACAAATCTGCTTTATAAAAAAGAATTAGAAAGTCTTCCTTAGTTCTCAGTGCTCTGGAGCAGTTTGGGAAGCGTTAGGTCATCTGGTCTTTGGTCTCCAAGAATCCCTGTGAAACCACCTGGCCCTGGTGCTCTCTTTTTGGGGAGCTCCTGGATACCTTTATGTCTAATACAGAAACTGGTCTTTAAACTTTTTACCTCGGCTGAGGTTTGTTTTGGTAACCTGCATTTTCTCTCTTTCACAGAGATATGCAAAGCAGACCCATGATTGAAAGATTTTGTTTCAGTGTTTTTTTCCCCCTTTGCCATTTCTTACTCAATATATTCATATCTCCCCCTCCTTTTTTTTCTTGATTAGATCAAGTAGTGGGTGCTGTAACTTAAAAACTGAGAATTTTAATTCGTTAATTTGAACCTTTTTCTGGACTCTGCCTTATTATTTTCTGGACTCTGCCTTATTAATTCCAGGTTTTATCTTTAGTATTTCTTTACTTGTACTTTTTTGTCTTCTTTTTTTTTTAGCTTTTGAGCTAAGAATTTAATTCATTTATTTTCATTCTTTCGTTTTATTAAAAATGTGTTTAACTGTGAACTGCCCTAAGTCCTGCTGTACAGGTTTCATCGTTTTTTTTACATTTCTGTAATTTTAGTTTGTATTTCTCCTTTCACCCGGGAGTTAGTAGATGGTTTTTTGGTATGTTGTTTGTTTTTTAATTCACAGGTGGAAGGGCCTTTTCATTGAATACATTTAAAAATAAAACCGGTAATCCACTGTATTTTCGACATCAGAGAATAGACTTCCATTTAGTACATCTACACACACATTCTTCGGTCACCTTTTCCCCAGCCTCAGACATTACCAGTTTGCCTGACGTGGGACTGAGCCCCCAAGAAAGTAGGGCCTTTGCCAGCTCTGGATTTGGGGTGAATGGTCATCTGTGTGCGGCTGAGACTGGCAGGGCACTAGGTTTGTTACCTGCATAACTGATTTCACTTCTTAAGATACTGCTTTTCATGTTTGCTCTCATCCTCCGTTGTGCCCGCCTCCTGGGTGGCGGGGGATAGATATAAAACACGTCACTTATTCTGTACTGAACTCTCTTTTTTTGAAAACAGGTGTTGAGAGAAAAAAGAATTCCCCCCTGGATGGAGGTGGCCCTTATCCCCATGACAGGAAAACCAAGTCTCTACCCAGGATTGTACCTTTTTACCACCCCGTGTAGACTGGTGCGGCCTGTGCAGAATTTGGAATTAGGCAAAGAAGAGCTGATTGGAACTATGGAACAGGTACACAGACTCTGTGATTGTACAGGATACAACTTTCAGAGACTTAGTAACTTTGTTTTTTAAAGTGTTACTGTTATAGTAACGGTCAGGCATTTGGAAGAAAGCTTATTTTCTGGCTCCTCTGTGACCAGCATGAAGCAGTTTCCACGCTCATCAAACCTGAGAGAGGGTTGGTGGTCACGTTCCCTGCCTTTCCCATCCCGCCCACCTCCGAAAGTTCTCTGCGCCCAGCTCTGCCTTGGGTAGTAAGACTGAAACATTGTTGGACTCATTCACAGCCTTTGCCTACATTTTGCAGTTGCAAAGCCATGGGCTTTGTGTTACTTCAAAAAATTTGCTTGCTTCCTGTCCCCCTTCACAATTGGACCAGGGTACATTTGGACCGCAATATGTAAGGCAGGTGGTGTTTCTAACTGTGGATCCCCTCAGTGTTCATGATGCTGAGTGGAAGGCTTTCTTCCACGTCTGTGGGTACTAAACGCTGACAGGTCGACAGCAGGAGTTCATGAATGTTAGCAGCCACAGTTATCCTTATTCCTGGAACTCCCTCACCCTTCCTCCTGTCCAGATCTTTATGAACATTGCCATCTTTGAGGATGAGGTCCTGCCTGGAGTTACCACCCACCAGGAGCTCTTCCCTCACAGCCTGCTGAGCGTGATCGCCAACTTCATCCCTTTCTCCGATCACAACCAGAGTCCGAGAAACATGTACCAGTGCCAGATGGGTAAGATGGAGGGGAGGGTGGTGGCTGTCACATGTATGGAAGAAACATGCTTGGAGTTTTTTAATTTTGAAATAATTTCAAAATCAGAAAAGTTAAAAGTTGCAATAATAGTACACAGAGTCCCATGAACCCTTTATGTAGATTTCACCTCATTGTGCTGTTTTCCATTAAAGGTGAGTGGCAGACCCAGTGCCCTTTGGCCCTGAACATTTCAGTGTGTATTTCCTAACAACAAGGAGATTCACTTACATAACCAAGGATAGTTACTGAGATTAGGAAATCTAACATTAATATTATTATTTTATGGTCCTTATTCACATTTTGACCAGTTGTCCCAAAAATATGGTTTATGGCAAATTTTTTTGTGTAGCACCTAGTCTGAGATCACACATTGTATTTAGTTCTCTTGTCTATTTAGCCCTTCAAGTTAGAACAGATTGTTAGTCTTTCTTTGACTTACATTTTTAAGAAAAAGATAATTTATTTTGTAGAATGTCCATCAGTTTGGGTTTGTCTGAGATCTTACGGTTAGATTTTTGAAGAGGACAAGCCATTATCATCACCCCCAGCCCCATCATTATCACTTTTAGGGCTTTTCATTCGTGCCTGGTGACTCATGTTTCCATGAAGTGTAATTTCAGCCTGAAATTTTCAGCCTAAAAAGCTGCTTTTTATATTTTTTAATTGTTGCAGGCTGCTGGCTACAAATTCTCTTAGTTTTCATTTCTCTGAGAATGTCTTTATTTCTTCTTCACTTGAAGGAACTGGATAGATAGCTCTGA